CATCAAAGAAACCAGAGAGCTTTCAAATTTAACTTGTTGTTTATTCCACCATTCTCAGTTACCAACGGCACTACTTTTTAAATATCAATACACTTGGGTGATCAGGCGACATACAACACCATTACAAAAGTATGTATTCTGACACGTGCAATAAATTAGTCCCAAAAACATCACAACAACTAACAAAACAATGCATTATTATACACATAGACATACACATGTTTTCACTTAGTTGTGACATTAACCCGTCATCACACTGTGGTGATATTCATTTGCGTGATATTATACGGGACTACTTTTGGGTTTACACAGTCAGGTTTGCCACAACTGTCAACAAGCCGAAGATGTTTTGTAACATGAACAAAATGTTGAGTGCACAACAAAAAAGATGCATGTTCTGGATAAAACTATTAATATATTTACAATGTTGTATCATTTTGCTGAGAATTTCCCACCGCCTTTCCCAGTGTGTGCTGCCAGTTCACCTGCATTGGTTAAAATGCATAGCACTATGGCAGGATATTTCTGTTGAATTATGTTAAATATTAACAAATCTTAAAATATTGTAAATCCTGAGCTACTACCTGGGCGATTCGTGACAGAGGTGTGATCAACTGTGTTCAAGTACACTGTGCAACAACTGCTCGAATTTCGGCACAGAGTGTTCCTGTTTTCATCAGTGGTCATACACATCCATCCATGCTGCATAGTGTTCTTGTCTTCAGTACTTGTACATGTAATAAATCACTATCAAGAGTGATCAGTTTATAGATGCTTGCCACCCGTTCGCGTTTACCTAGAAATACTGATTGAAGTATAACAAATATTATCTATTACAGGTTTGTGTGGAAAAAAAGAAGATAAAGATACTGCCGCCTCGGGTTCCTGCAATTGGGTGAGTCTCGCAAATTATTTTAGCAATTGTTATGCTGCCTAGGGTTCCTCCAGTTGGGCGAGTCTCGCAAACTATTTTAGCAATTGTATTGCCGCCTAAGGTTCCTCCAATTGGATGAGTCTTGCAAACTATTTTAGCAATTGTACTGCCGCCTAGGGTTCCTCCAATTGGGTGAGTCTTGCAAAATATTTTAGCAATTGTTATGCCGCCTAGGGTTCCTCCAATTGGGTGAGTCTTGCAAACTATTTTAGCAATTGTTATGCCGCCTAGGGTTCCTCCAGTTGGGTGAGTCTCGCAAACTATTTTAGCAATTGTTATGCCACCAAGGGTTCCTCCAATTGGGTGAGTCTTGCAAACTATTTTAGCAATTGTTATGCTTCCTAGGGTTCCTCCAGTTGGGTGAGTCTTGCAAACTATTTTAGCAATTGTTATGCCACCAAGGGTTCCTCCAATTGGGTAAGTCTTGCAAACTATTTTAGCAATTGTTATGTCCCCTAGGGTTCCTCTAATTGGGTGAGTCTCGCAAACTATTTTAGCAATTGTACTGCCACCTAGGGTTCCTCCAATTGGATGAGTCTTGTAAACTATTTTAGCAATTGTACTGCCACCTAGGGTTCCTCCAATTGGGTAAGTCTTGCAAACTATTTTAGCAATTGTTATGCCACCAAGGGTTCCTCCAATTGGATGAGTCTTGTAAACTATTTTAGCAATTGTACTGC